CCTAAATGATTCTATGATTCTATAATTAGCTCAGTCTAGTCTGAGATACTATTTAAGACAAAGCACATTCTGTTTTAGTACATGATAAATTGGTCAATTTTTAAAAAGTCTTTAACTCAGATTTTAGCACATCTTAAAGTTTAATTTGTCTTGACTATAAAATTAAAACATGACTGAGCTAGCTAGCATGATCAGATATCACAACTAACATCAAATGTGACACTCCCAATTGAGACAAATTTATGTTAGGCTGTGAGTCTCTTGGCATGTCTATATAAATCTCATCTATTGGATTACGAAGTATCTCTTTGCTATCTCCAGATAACTCAGGCTTTCATTGTTGATGAGTGTACTTAGGGAGAAAGCCGTACTGAGTATGCCTTCACTTTGAAAAAGAGAGGAGTGCCTCAGATCGAGGGAAAAGGAAAGCAGATAAAGTGTTAATATCTGTGTCTTTCATACGGAGATTTTACCCATGTTGCAGGTGGATGACTGCCTTAAGTGAGCAGGCTAGCGGCCATGAATGAGACACATCAGATTTTGATACAAATCTGGGACAATAATTTGTCGTAAAGCATTGATGGAGGAATAGCGGTAGGGGCAACTTTGAAGAGGCCCCGATACCTATAAGGAACAAAAACATTCAGTTTTACACTGCGTAAAATTTCACATTGGGCAACGGACGGAGAAGATGCCAATAACTTTAAATTACAGGGTTTGAAGAGGAAACTACCGCAGACAGTGCCAAATTATATAGTTCGCTTTCATGGCCTGATATAGATCAGATAATCTGGAGCTTTGCTGGTAATTGAACCGCCATTTGGAGAGATGAGATATTAAAGTAAACGAAGGAGCTTGAGACAAAGGAATCACTTTTACTGGTTATTAACTGGTTATTATTTACTTGCCAAGGCAACCTCAATAGCTTCTTAAGAGAGAATTAGGATATCTGATTGTGTATTTCATGTGGCTTCTTATGTTCACACTCCTTTTATTGAGATGCTATTAAAAGAGAAGTAGGGGCCTTTATTAAACCACTTGTAGAAGGACTGGAATAACCAAGAGAAGCTGAATGGAACCAAAGAGACTAACCATGCTATTACTAAAAATATGTCTGAGTTACAAAGTTGGAATCTAGGACCAAATGTTCCCAAAGTTTGGACATTCGTATCCAAGGGTTTGGTTTAGCCAAGCACGTAGACAGCTGCTATTCAGAGGATATGTTAGTGCTTTAGTTTGTCTCAAGAGGGCACTTTTGAAGCGAACCCACCAATCATTACTATTAACCATGCTTTGATTCACATTAAGGAGCAACCTAAGAGAGCATAAAATGGGTTCTTTTTATGTGAAACATGAAGATGTGATCCAACATAGTAGTGGGCTTTCAGGCCATTTGATCAGACTAAAGCTAGTCCAAAGGAAAACACTTTGAAACTCGTATAGTGTGGGCACAGTGTCTTAGGAACAGGTGTTTCACTGTGCAGATCTGCTTCTCCTGGGCCTTGCTACTCGCTAACATTGCCATAGCCACAGAGTTGCTACCAGGCCAGAATTCACTTACAGATGTCCCCCTGCAGATTAGAGCTGGAGTTTTCAGTTGAAATGCTTTGATTTTTACATACTGTGTAATAGAAAAAGGAATTGTTTTGCCACTTTCGGTTGTGTTTATGCTGATCCAGTCTATTTCTTTATTTTCTGTGTTCCACGATACTCTTTTCACTTACTTTCCCCTCAAGCTTTGACTGTACATTTCACCTCAGTTTGTCTCTCCTCTCTCCATGATATTTTTTAAAGATCTGTGATGTCATTTCTAAGTGGGAACAAGCCTTAAAAGAATTGCATCCCGGGAAATATGAAGGTGGCACAAGAATTGTGAAGTTGACCTATAAGAACAGGTACTGTGCTTCGTTGGTTGGCCTCACTACTGCTGTTAATTAAACATATCTAGACTGGATATATCTCTGTAGATGGCCAGTTATTTATAGTACTGTTAGTGCCAAAACTATTTTAGCTAAGATGCGTTCAAATCCTACATGAGATGTGATGACTTTTGTGTGTGGTACATGTGTAAAAGAGGGTATATGGCCTAGAGGTAAAACGCAAAACACTTTGCAGGTAGCAGAATAGACTTAAAATAGGCTAAGAACTAGCTGTATTAGAATAAGACATACTTGGCACAATTTCATTTGCCTAGATCCTAAAACATAATTAAATAATGCATGTTAGGTGAGAGGAAGAGAGACCTGGGGGAAAAATCACCAGTGAAAACGAATATGCTGAAACTTGCAATTAAGCGAAGAATCACAAAGATGAAAAAGATACAAGAACAATGTTCTAAATGGCACAAGCTATAGAGAAGACATGTAGTAGCAGTGCCCAGACTCTATAAAAGAAAGAAACGTTAAAAGTTAGATGACAAGAGATAGTAGAGAATGAAAGTATGAGACAAAGATCTAAACCAAAAACTGGAACAAGTTCATAATTTATAATACAGACAGGAATTCTGAATTACAATGAATGGAGAGCTGTATATGAGAACAAGGAATGGCTTTCTGCATGTGAATTCTGTTTGCAGGCAAAACAAAGGCCACCCCAAAACAAAAAAGAGACAAAGTTCTGTATTGAACGTATGAAGATTTTGTTGACTGTAATGGTGGAAACAAATTTCTGTGAACTTTGTTAGTTGGTATAACAGAGGTGGAAGCAGAAGTTATTGCTTTTGACCCAGAAGGCAGTATTTGTTTCAGGAGTGAAACTTTGCAGTATTATTTTATTGGACTGGAATGTGCTAGACTGCACAGCAAGGATGTTTTGATAAGGTCTTTCCAAGGTTGGGCTGTTCTAACACCAAGGACTCTGATAAGACATGTGTAAGGTCACTATGGTCCTAATGGTGGTGTTAATCTTAGATTGACATAAAAATAAACAAACTGATCCACTGGAATGAATATCTTGTGTCATATTGTGGAAAATATAGTCATAGATGCAGCTGTAAATTAATATTTGAATCAGATGGTGTGGACTGTAAATGGGCATGCATGCGGAATGGTTCTGGGAAGCATTCCCCAAGCTGGTGTCATCAGCCCCCATTAGTCATCTTGCTATACCAGGTCAAAGAAGTTGCAAGTGTGAAGGGAATAAAAAATAGTAGGAAGCTTTGATTTACAAGAATGCTTCTTCGATTTTGAAATAAAGCCTGCAAATTTTTTTGCTGAAGCAAACTGAAGACTTTTTCAATAACAATATCAATGTAAGTGGTCAAAACAAAGCTGCCAAAATAACAAGTCTACAAGGCTGTCATGTAGAAGTTTATACGTGTAGAGCAGAGGCAGTTCTGTATTCTGTGATAAGCAGAGAAGGCCGTATCTTAAATATTGCCTGTCTGTGCTTGATGGGGATGGATGGACACTGATTTACCTGTGTTTAATAAGGCTTCACTGTCTTGAAGTGGCTGACATTCAGAATTCAAATGGCTTCCAAAGCTAGAAAGCATGTTTTGAGCCTCCTTGCCTAAATTTTGTTCATAAGGGAAGCACCTCAGCTTCCAAATCTCTGTCCAGTACCCCCACAATACACAAAGTTCACTTTGGAGAAGGAGGGGGGAGGAGGGGAAAAAACACTTTTATTTTTACTCACCTTGATTAAAGTTCCCACCTCTACTTTCAATTCACAATCCTCTCTGCTTTTTAGGCTATATTTTCGGAGCCAGGCCAAAGGTGAGACAGACCGGGAGCGGTTGCTACTGGCCTTCCAAGTCAGCAATGAAATAGCCAATGGAAGGTTTCCTGTTAATAAGGAATTAGCTCTGGAAATGGTGGCTTTGATGGCTCAGGTGAGTATGGCTATGGGTAGAAATCCTCTTTTGTCCTCCAGGGACTTCAGCTGAACACTGAATATCTTTGACTAAGCAGCTATCTTTTACATCAAAAGTGTTTTTTCTTACGAAATACACAGTCTGAGGTGTACCATGCCAAACACATTATACCAGCATACATATATTGTTAGAACACCTTTTGCTGTAGGTAAATTTGCTATAGGAGTGCCTCTCCTTTCCTTCTGAAGAAGAATATTGGAAAAAAACAGCGAGGCTGGACTATCCTCAGAACTGCTCCAAGTAGTGCCTTAGTAGAGACATGGAAATAGTATCACTACTAGAATTCCGTTTAATAGTAAAAACTTTCCCTGTTGCACTGCCAATAGCCTCTTACTCAGGAAGAGCATCTTGTAGGATCCTCCATTAGACCTCCAGGCTTGCATTTAGCATTTTACCACATAAAACACACAGTATGGGTTGTGGGCATGATAAGCAGGATAATAGTTTCTCACTGAGCTGAAACTGATTGTTGCATTTGTTAAAGCAATGTAAACTGAGATGAAGAAGCTGGGAACATTGTCCAAACTATTTACAAATAGGCTATTCTTTTAATTGGCCAACTGAAAATAAACCCCAAAAGCTTGGCAGTTATACAGAAGTGTCTCCCTACAACAAGTAGCTGGCCGATATCTTGTTTCACTTTCTTAGGATTCCTTGGGCAGTTATGTCCTCGGTCGTTGCAGTCATCATTTACAATGGTAAATGCTGTAGACAAAATTCCCCAGCCTAATAGTGTCTTTTTGCATGACTAATAAACACGGTAGTTATCAGTATGGGAATTCATGGAATGTTCTACTGCACTAAAAACCCCATAGTTCTGTTGCACTATGAACTATAACATTGTCTTAGGTGGAATATGGGGATTTGGATCGATCAGGATCTTCAAGTCCTGGGGGAACATCACAGTCGAAAATGCAGCATCTTCTCCACCAAGTCTTAGATAAATTCTACCCCAAACGCTACAAGCAAAACATTACTCCTGAACAGCTCAGGTAAATTGTTTGTTCTACTATACTTTTCACTGAAAACAAATTTTACTTGCAAAATGCTGTCTTTATATTTAAGAAGTTTCAAGAAGCCCTGTCAAGATTATTTGATGTAGAAACTTAAACAAAACACAAGTGTCAGGAGAAGGTTCCTTTAAAAGAAAATAGCAGTTAACTCATATAAAAAGAGCCAAATCGCCAACTAATTTTCCCCTCACAAGAAGTTTAAGCCTTTCACTTCTAAATTACCCATCTCAGTTCCAACAAACTCTAACCTAAGCCTAAAATGAATTGTTTCTGAATTTTTGTTCTACCCTTCCCCAAGTGTCAATTGAATCCAGATGCCTAACATTTGCAATCAGCCATAAAGCCAGCACATATGGGCTGCTTCAGGCCATGCAGTAATTCTGGTAGGACATATTTTGGCAGGGCTTTTTGATGTTCTGACTTGGAAATTCTCACACACAATGCAGAGATCTCAAGTACTCAAGTACAGAATTCAGATGCTGCCGTGGATCTCGGCTCTAACTGTTTTAACGAGAGAGAATGATAATCTTCCAGATCCAAAGCTGTTTAGGGATGCAGTGGTGGAACTAACACAATTACCTCCTTTGTGGAAGTAAATTTCATCTGCATGTAGCCAGGTAGCTGCCAAACCATCCCTAGTGAGCCAAATCAAGAGTGAGTTAATATATATTGCCACTCCATATAGAGCATACTACAGACAAGTTAAGATGAAGGTGAGAGTATAATTGAATGTGAAGACAAGCTGGGCATTTTACTGTGACAGCTGCCTGAGTGTTTGTAGTTACAGTTGTTTAATATATACACCAGTGAACAACTCATATGTGACTGGGATTCGTGGGCATTACAGTATAACTAGTAGTAAAATAATTGTGGAAGTAGAGAAAATGCTAAAATAAACTCAGGTTGTACAGCTCTCATAACTGACAGTGCTAACAGCCCTGTCCGTAGTGCTGTGTAGAACAGCCCTTTTGGAATGAGTGGTATATCTATTAACTGTTATAATTTTACTCACCTTTCCTTGGAAGACATTAGTAAATAATGCTGTCTTGTGTCTTGGATTCGGAAAGGCAACTGGCTGACAGGCTGGCGACAAAGTGGATGGTGCTGCAGGGATGCTCTCCACCAGAATGCGTTCGAATTTATTTGACAGTGGCCCGGAAATGGCCTCTCTTTGGAACCAAAATATTTGCTGCTAAGGTAACTGGAGCACACTTTTTTCTGTTCCTGAGAGTGAACTATCTGAGCAGACATATACCTATGATCTCTGGTAACACGGGTTGAAAATGCTTCCACTTCAGGAAGGGGAAAAACTGAACAATACTCTGTTCTGAACAAACAGCTCTGTTTGGTACCACATAGGTTTAGAAAGAAGGAAGAGAAACATGTTCTAAACACTAGGGGTTGCTAGCATTCAGTAAATAAATACTGAAGATTCCCTGGCTGCCTCAGTTGCTCCTAATACAGGGTACTGACTCTCCTTACAAACCTTGCCAAACTTTCTCAGGCAGGAATTTCCCTGGTCATCAAGGCTGCAATGATAGTTCAAAAAACACTATTTACATACCACTGGGAGGGGTGGAAGGGAAGAGTCTCCTATAAATCACACCTGGCAGCTGATGCTAGCTAAAAGGAAAATGGGTATTTCTGTCCTGTTCTCTGCTTGACACAGAGTTGGCTGCTTTCCTTGCCACATGAGAGAGGCAAGCACTGCTATGTCCTGTTGCAGAAACAGAAAAACTAAAGCACATACTGGGTAAGCTGCCAGCCCACAGGCATCAATGGGCGAGCAAAGAACAGCTGGAGGGAGTGCTTCTCCCTGTAGGTTGTATCATCCTTCAGCCCATCCCAGGCTAGAGCTCTGTACCTATTACCCATGCCCAAACTAATTAATGTCTTAGCACATAGTGGCTGTCTGAGAAATCTTGTTTTGGCATTAACCATCTTCCGCAACCCAGCAGAAACCTCCTCTATTGAAAGCTTGAGATAGGTCTTGTTCATAGTTCCATGTCTCTTGCTTTGAAGTCAAAGCTGCTATAGTTATGGAATAAAGTCTAAGGATGAAAGGGACCTCTTGAGTAAATATACAAGAAGTTTTCAAAAAGACAATTATTTCTACTGTCAGCAGCAAAAGCAGAAGAGGTTACTGGTATTTGAAGTTATGACACTGAAGAATCAGAATATAGAATAGTTCCACCCAGAGTTTAAATAATGTTGATATTTCTGATGATTAACATATTTTATAACTTTTCAATAGTTAAACAGCAAAGCCTATGGCATTAGCCACATAATAGCAGATTCCCAGGAAAGATTCATGTCATTAGCCATAACAACACATAACTCATCTTTAACAGATAATTGATGCACATTTGTCAAAATCTGTAAAAAAGAAAATTGCATTGATGTGATGGTACTGGGTGCACTGGTATTCTAGAAACCAACAGGCTTCACTGCCTGACTAGTTGATGGGAGTAGTATAAGAACCAGAGCAGAGCAGAACTACCGTTTTATTGCTCTGCCCTAGCATTTCCTTCGGTTTTAACTACACTGATGGAATTTAATTAATCTCAAAGCCTTCATTATCATTGCATCTCTTGTGCCACTAGTCCCAAAATTCTATGTAAATCTGAAAATGTTATTCCAGATTTTGAGAGAAGTCCTCTTAAAAATCAAACCAGATCAGACCAGTAAGCCTATAGGATTCTCTCTCATCTTCACTTTACCCTTAAAACCCAAGATTTATGTCAGAAACATCTTTGTGTGGTGGTCAGCAGATATCTAAATTAATAATTTTCTTTCCCTCTAGCCTATTTTGCCTTCCTCACTGGAAGACTGTCCAGTCTGGATAGCTGTAAATGAAGATGGTATCAGCATACTGGATTATAACACTATGGTACGGTGAGGAACACTGTTTAAGAAAAATAACTTACCTCCCACAGAAAGACATTCCCCTGAGTCCACTTAAAGTCACTAAAAGTTTGTCTTTAACTTCAAATGGATCCAGAAGTTAATTTGTAGAAGTCAGAGATGAGGGAAGTCAGTGCTATGTTTGAACGCTACATAAACAAAGGAAAATTACAGCTACAGTGTAAGGTAAGGTTTCATGAAACAGCTAACTGCCTCTTTGATGGGCAGCAAACATACATCTTGCAAAATCTCAGTGGTGTGTGCTTTATACCATCATCTGGGATATAACAAAGTTTGGACTGTTGCTCTGAAGCAGTGAGGCATCAAGCAAGCTAGGAGAAAACTAGAAATGCAATTCTCATTTAAGATTTCCCTGCCAGATGTTACCTATAGAGCCAATTACCTGTACTACCTATTACTGCTGGAGATCTGGCATTCTTGCAGTAAGTAGCAAATATATTAGGTTAAGGTGGCCGTTTTTTCTTTTACAGAACTATGACTGTTTCAAACTCTCTGTTGTCTGCAGCACTTGAAGGTCTCTTATTCATACTCCTCTGTGCTGACCTTTGGAGGCTGTCGAGATGACTTCATGATTGTAGTCATGAAAGAAAGGAGTTCTGGAAAAAACAGCACTGAAAAACTCCTTTTCACAATGGCAATTCCAAAGGTAATTACAAAATGAACAGTGAGTTTCTTTCCAGCTGGCAGAGTCACAGCTGGGCATTTTGTACAAGCCCTGGGGACTGGTACTTGTGGCTGCTGCGCTAGCTATATACATTCAATAAATCCCTTGTAAGCTGGAACCTTTAATCAAGAGACTTATTCTACCTAACTCTTAAAGACAGACCTTCATTTCAAAACCAAACAATTCCATGTGAGAAAGCCATTTGCAAAAGTTATGCAGTCAATAGGTTCTAAAAATCAAAGGGCACTCTTACCTCTAGTTGACTTACAGTTAATAATTTTCTTTTTTCCCCTAGATTGTTGAAGCAACACTTCTTATTGCTAGCTATATTAACTACCGTTCGACACCTTCACTCCTATCTTCTACACAGCCCTCCCGAAGCAAAACACCTGCTAACAAGCTCTGGGAGACTGAAAGTCGGTGCTTTATTCCTTCTGTGCCCCGAAGCACTAAGGGGCCCACCCTGCTCTGAGGGCTCATTCCAAATGACTTTCGGGATTTTGGGGTTTTTTTTGTTTGGGATTGTGGGGTTTTTGTTTGTTGTGTGGCTTTTTTTTTTTTTTTTTGCACTGCTCTGTACTAAATTGCAGACTGCTATGATTTTGCTGGTTACACGCCTTACTTTAATGTGGGCTCTGATTCTTTTTCCATAATAATAGACAAAGTTCCTTAGTGTGGGTAGAGGCAGTGTCCTTTCTCGTATAAAAAAAAAAAAAAAAAAAGCTGATTTTGGGGACTGTGCAGGAGTTTGCTTTCCATGCCACACTCCATCCAAAATACCATGCCTCAGGTCATTTGCCTGCACAGTGCTCCAGTCACATTGTATCTGCCCTCTTTCCTTGCACCCACTCTTCTTCCATCTCCTGATCTTACTGCTTTGCTTACAAGCACATCCCTTTTCTTTGATCCCTTCCATTTTCAGCTTTGCACTTGCCTTTAGATCACTGCACACCCTGTGTCTAGAATCTCAGTCCAGCTCTTAAAACTTCTAGTGACGTGTTTTCCTCATCATAACTCCTTTCACTTATTATCATTATTTCCAATAACCTTCTGTTTGCATCAATCCCTAACTTGCTCACTTTATACCTGAATTAGACTGCAACCTCTGCAAGGCAGATTTGAGTGGTATACAGGCTTGAATCTGACTGCAGTGGGCTGAGCACACAGTCCTATTAAAAGAAAAAACAAGTGGTAATGGATACTGTGGCATGTGGCATGAACCCTGTACAAGCATGCATCCTATTAAATACTGCCTGTATTAGGAGCTGCATATCACTGCATCATAGCTAGATATACACTGGAAAGGCTATTACCAGAGTGTAAAGATTAACATGACATAGTCTGATCAGGTAGTTTAGATGTAACTTCAGCTCCATGCACTGGTTGTGAATAGCCATCATATTAAAGTTTTTACCAGTGTTTAAATTCAATGTTGCCACTCCCAGAACAACTATTAAGATAGTCTTTTTGCAGAGACTATAATAGTTTTTATGCAACTGCTTAACACAACCAAGAGGACAATTTAATTTTCCCTAGAGCTAGAATGACTCCTCCCTGAAACTGATGGTAAAATTGAAAGACAGAAACTTTCCAAGTCCTTGCTCCAGACATGAAGGAGAGAAAGAAGACACTATTAAGAAGGAAGAGGAACTAAACTGACAAGAATAATTCCGATGCAAGTCAAGGGTAATTTCAGACCTGAAATAGGGAGTATCAAATAAGAGTTCAGTGGTACTCCAGAATATTTTCAACTTTAAATAAAGGAGGAAACCTAGTGTCTTTGCATGTTGAGGACTCAGAACGACTGGGACTGGAACAGTGTCAGATGATGCCCTAGCTCCTACAGGACTGATGCATTTCGGGACTTGAAGCTGTTCTATGCAACAGATGAACATTAGATCTCTGCTGCAGGGCTGAATGTGTCACGTGCTCCACCATCAGACAAGCGCTTTCAAGGACTCATTCTGTTAATCGCTGTTGTAGATGTTTTGGGATGTGTTTGAAACTGCACGTAATCTCAGACAAAGGAAGACAAGGCAAACAAGTTTTGTACTTTTTCTAGTCTTTCAGCAACTGGAACAGATCTTCCCAAACCAGCTCTGCCATTCTGACTTGACAGAAGCTGCTCCTTCAAACTCCTGCTTCCTTCACGCTACCATAGCAAGGAGGAGGTAGTCAGCAAATGTGTACTCAAGTATCGTTCTTCTGACTTTCCTAAAGAATGGGGTTTTTTTTTTGATCTGTTTCAAAGGGACTTCGTTATGATTGAGAAGGTTAATGGATTTTAAACAAATAAAAGAAAAATAGCAATTCTTCTCAAAAAAATCTAAATCTACCTGGCTTGAGTTCAGCTATTTTCATAAGCATTCTAAAAAAAGCTAAGGAAGAGTAAGTGCACTTTCAAAAGTACCATGTGCAACTTCATAATAATTATGCATTCATGGGCAACTTTCCCAAACTAGAACAGTGTGAATCCAACCATTAGAAAGAGTTCAGCAATAACAAACCAAAGCTATCTGCAAATGAACAAACCAACCATACCAGTGTTTTTACTCCCTAGTACCTCCCGCCAACCTTGAAACATCCAACTAATGCACACAGTGGTGCTGATACTTCAAGAAGTGTTTGTTTCACGCTTATGGTGGGTGCAAAGCCACAAATTAAAAGAGAATAGCATGGGACAAAAAATCGTTCTAAGCAATCCCTTATCAGCATCTTTGCAACACAAAAAAAAAAAAAAACCAAACCACCCCATGGTGGGTTGTGGAAACAATATGGCAGACATAAGACAGAAAAAGATTGTATGAACAGAGACCTGATTTGCACATACTGTAATGTACCCACTTGTTATGAATTTAAGGACCATCCCTTGAAGTTACGGAAAAGGGTAGAAGCTTTCTGAGCCAAAAACAATTTTGAGAAGGTATTTAGTCTTTTTTTTTTTTTGTCCCCTTAGATACTTTTAAGTGACTATATATCCTGACAGAGTGGTCAGTAGTATGTATTTCCTCTTTCTCACACACACACACACAGAGTGATCTTAGTACAGCTACATCGGTTTGAATACAGAGAGCATTATACCTCCTCACTCAATCACCTGTGCCTAACAATTCCTCCTGTACCTGAAGGTCTGTTTGGCAGCCTGCTTCTTGTATCCCACCAGTAACAAAGCTGCTTCGGAATAAGCTGAGCTGTCATCGGTGCTGGGGATGCTCAAGGCATAAGTGTCTCCAGTTCAGTTCAGAGGCTGTACTTACCTTACAGTGCTAACACTCATGTCCTTAGAGACTTGTACCAGGGCAAACAGGAAGCAGAGATGTTGAAGAAGCAAGAGCTGTCCTGAAGCTCATTATTCTCTGCCATAACTGCACTTTAAATTGAGAAGCATGGCATATAGAACTTTTTATTCTTATTTCTTAAAAATATTCACCAATTCTTTAGTATTTCAGGGACCACCCCACTCTGATGGATGCACATATACCTCCTATTTATAGCTTACCTGACTTCAAACAAACAAACGACCCTGTGTAGATACCTATTTTGTATGATTCTTTGGTAGAGAAAACAATTTTTATTTTAATCAATGCTTTTGGCAATGACTATTGCTGCAGCATAGAATGAGATGACAAAAGCCTTTGTTTTCCTAACTGCTGTGTGTATGTAAAAGGCTGTCTGGGAGATATTGTGAGATTTCTGTTTGTTCTTAATAAAATGCAGTTTTCATGAATTAAACTGTATTATTCTCAGAATGAAAGAAACTATTTTAAAAGCCAAAATAGTTTCGATGTAAACAAAACCAGACAAAGATTGTGTTTGGTATCTAGACACATACCTGGTGCAAACCTGCCCTAGTCTGATTCCTTGTTTCTCTCTGCTGATCTTCCCTCAGGTTTAGTGGATGACTAAAGTGCACTCCCATGGGCACAGGATATTCACTCCTCCAAAAGATGGCTAAAACAATCTTTCAGGCTTCCTCTTATGACACAGCTACTTGGTCGTTTCTTCAGTGCACATTCTCAGCACTTTATGGGATTTTTACAGCATAGTCAATGTTCCCAGCACACTCTTAAGCCCAAGACTCTGTCCACTCTGCTGAGACATAATTTATTTTCTGACACGTTCTCCCCACTGCTCAGCGAATCTTCCTGCTGCTATAGCACTCCTCAAGGGCCTCGACCTTTCTCTTCCCCATAAAGACAGACAACATGGCCGAACCAAGCCCCGAGCCATACGCAACTCAAGTATACCACATGGTTCTTCGTCAAAGGACTGCCATTGTAGTCATTTACACAGTCACACTCCCAGGGCCTGCTGCTGCTGTTAATAGCCAATTTCTGCCCCTGCTCTGACACCCGCCCTTCCCAGTTCTGCCTGGACTTGCAACCAAACACAGTTTGCATCAGGGTGCAGCTTCACTAACTTCAGAGAGACCTACCAACTTATATTAGGGCAACACTGGAATTAAAAACCTGGCCAACCCCCATTTAAAGTATTTATGAGAAATAAAACCATTAAAAATGAAGTAACCTAGACAATGTTACCCAAAAGCCAGTGGCACGTCCCCAAGCTGCTGCCTTTCACTTGGACAACCAGAATACTTCCTATGACATGAGCTAACCTGTGTCTTTCAAACTTCATGGCACTGTGAAAAAAAAAAATCACCTTATCTCTACTATATTGTATGATGGTATGTTGCCACGTTTTAATTACAGATTATGTAGACAAGCACAGTACAGCATTGTATGCAAATTAAGTATGACCCCTAGGCTCCTGCCAACTTGCTGGTTTAGCTCTTGTTTTGACATTTCAATTGTCTCAGTTACATTACTAAGGAGTCATGGAAAAAAAAAGAGAGAAAAATACCAGTTAAAGGTTATGGTAGCTTTTAGCTCATCAACAAAGAAGAATTTCCCAACCTTAAGTTACTCCCGAGAGCACAGATCAATAAAACTTTATTCACATAGTCATTACCATAATTTTCAACAACACATTTTCCTCACACTCTCAGAGCAATTGATGTGGCCCTTTTAATGCCACATCTTTTCTATGTCCCGTGTCACCATGCCCCTGCCCTATTCAGCAATGGGTCCATATTTTCCCTGTCTTACGTTTGCTACTTATGTACTTGTAGAAGCCCTTCTCGTTGCCTTTGATATCCCTCAACAGATTCAACTCTAGGTGGCTTTGGCTTTCCTAACCGCATCTCGGACAGTGTTGCTGTATTCCTCCCAGGCTACCTGTCCCTGCTTCCACCTTCTGTATAATTCCTTTTCGTGTTCGAGCTTTGCCAGGAGCAACTTGTTCATCCATGCAGGCTTCCTGCATTTTTGCTTGACTTCCTGCTCATTGGGATGTTCTTGAGCTTAGAGGAGGTGATCCTCGACTATTGATCAGCTTTCTTGGACCCCTCTTCCCTCTAGGGCCTCATCTCATGGGATTCTTTCAGACAGACCTCTGAAGAGGTCAAAGTCTGCTCTCTTATGTTTATTTCACTAAACATAATTGAATGCAACAGTATATTTTAATTTTATGTTATTTTCTTTCTGAAATTCTCCTGTGGATCAGGAAGTTACCCTCCCAGCCCACATATCAGCTTTGGTATTTAGAGTCGTGTATGTTTTTTTCAAACAAAGGGTTG